CAGAGGTTTGTATCTTTATTTAAGTTGTGATTTTGATCAAAGTAATTATACATTTTGTTGAGTCAGTTCATGACTTAGAGCAGCAGTTCTGAACCTGTGGGTTGTGACCCCTTTGGGGGTCGAACGACCCTTTCACAGGGGACGCCAACTCATAACAGTAGCGAAGTTACAGTTATGAAGTAGCAACAAAAATAATTTTATGGTTGGAGGTCACTACAACATGAGGAACAGTATTAAAGGGTCGTGGCGTTAGGACGGTTGGGAACCACTGACTTAGAGGAAGAAAAACATCCGGATTTAAAAAATAATAATAAGACAAAACCTACTCTTTTAAAATATAACAAATGTCCCAACAAAGGAAAAACATCACCAGTATAATTTATGAAATTAGGAAGGCATGATCAGTTGCTCCCAATAGCTTGTAAAGTTGCAAATTAAATTACACCTGGGAGGTTATCCTGTACTTTGTTTTTTTCCCTTGCTTATATATCATCACAAGCCTATGGGACAGAGTAGAACTACCCTTGTTAGTTTTTGAGAATGCAAATCTTTTAGGGAAAAGAAAGCTCATCATTGGCCCATGGAGATGCTGGTGGTTTCAAACTGCGAACCTTACAGTTAGCAGCCCTATGCAAAATCCACTATGCCACAATCGGCTCGACGGCACTGAGTTGGTTTGGGCTGAGCTTTGCTTCTAAATGAAAGGAAACCACAGAAATTAAGGTAAAGGTGAAAAGTCGGTTAGAAACTGCCCTGATCTCTTCTAACAATTTAATGCTTCTGTACATAGAGTGAGGTTATAAAACTTACTTTCCGAGGGCAAAACATTCCAATTTCACAGTTGAACCTTTAGCTGCTGGAAGAGTTTCTGGGAACTGAACTTCTATCTTGGGTTCATATTCACCCATCACACCTGTAAATACACAATACATGTGTCTTAGTCTCAAAGTCACCTTCGCAATTGCCTCATTTTCCTGAAATAAACCTTGCTTTTCCTCTCGTTTGAAGCAACTCCTCCAAGAGATGTAAATTACTCACTATCCAGCAGTGAGTTTCTCCTAGAAGTCGTTCTAACCTGCCCCCGACTGCAACATATACTTGTTGAAGCCGTTAGGCTTCTGTGCTTCTCAATTAGTGTTTGCAGAAACAGTTGTGAGAATGCCATTCTGCATTCAAGAGGGGCTTTTCTAGGCAAAATAAAATATCAAATGTATTGTGACTTCTTGAAATTTCATTAAGAACAAAATTAGGGCACGGAATGTATTTACTGTTTCCCTGGTGGCATAGACACCAAACTTAAACTTATTAAATGGCATTCCAGCAGTGAGAAGCAGTGACTTAATAACTGGAAAAGGTCAAATCCCATGATTAGGAACTAGAAAGAGTGCTTAGATGTGTTGTAGCCGAGGCTCTACACTGTACCTGAGATAGTTTTGTATTAAGTGTATTAACTAACCAAGCTCAAAACTCTGCTTCTGAGGCGGTTAAGGGCTCTTTTAAACTGCCATCAAAGGGGTAATGACACGTTTTATCCCTCATAAAATTTTTTAGGGATCCAATTAAACCTGTACTAAGATATATTAAGCTTCAAAACAATCAAGCTGATAAAGGTGGCTTCAGGTGACTGCAACTTGGGAAATCACACATAGAGTCCCAACGTCAGAAGGCCGCAGCTTGCTATAATGTGCCGTTCTCATCATCTTCAAACCCTAGAGGTTTGAATCAGGGGCGTCTTGCTTGTATTTCACACTGGGCCCCAGGCTTTGTGTACTTGGTGTGGTACTCACCTAGTCTGGTGTCAATTTAAGGAGTAAGAGTGCAGGGGTGGAGTCTAGGCTATCAATCTGGAGATAGCCAATGAGCCTTCTGTGGACATGGCCTTCTCCTGAGAATTCCGGGAAATCTGGTACTTCCTCCTTGGAGGTGGAAGACAGTTCTCTCTCTGCTCACATCCTGGGAGATGTACCAGCTGACAAGACACATGGACCCACCCTGATGCAGAGACCCCTGCCAGCGCTGAGATGTTTCCAATGACACTGGATCCAAAGACTTTCTAACCACTGGCCTGTGATCTTCTACATTCAGCATCATCACATGTGTTTTGTGAGTCTGAAGAGGACTTTATAGATTGATATCGGGCATATGGGCTAATATCGGACTTATGGATTGATCTGGGCTGGGATGTTTTCTCAATGTTCAATTGCTCTTGTATACAAATCTCTTTCTTATACACGTGTGTGTCCATAGGGTTGTTTCTCTAGTCTACCCAGACTAACACACTTGATACTGGTCATGTGTTAACAATCATCCAACTAGCACTGACTGTACACAGGGACTTTTGACTCTGGAAAGCACGTAGTCCTGTGCTCCTGCCCGTGGGTATTCTTTGTTCAGGAAAGAAAGTAAGAAGGAGCGAGGACAGAGAGAAGAGAGGAGCGGGGAGGACAGAGAGAAGAGAGGAGCAGGCGGGGAGGAAGGAAGAAGAAAGAACTATCCAGACACACTTTCCTCTTGTCCACTTGGTCTGTTCTTGGAGCCCCAAAATGATCTCCACTCAGCGTGACATTTTTCCACATTTCGTACCATCAGAACGTAGCACCAAAGGTGTTGGTGAACCTAGCACTCTGGCACTGGTCAGTGTATTGGTGACCACACAGGTGTAATTTCCCACATCAGATGGCTCCACTTTGGCTATGTAGAGGTGCCCTGTCTCCTGAGAAACAAATCGCCGACTATCTTCTTCAACAAACGATGGGTATTCATTGAAGATCCAAGCATAAGATAGCTCTAATAAAATAAGGGAGGACAAAGACATGACACAACTGAAGGACGTTTTCAACAGTACATAATACACACAACTCACAGACACCCTATGGAATTGCATTTTCTTGTCCACCAGAGGAGCCCCAGGGGTGCAAAGGTGAAGCACTCCGTAGCAATCAAAAACTCGGTGACCGGAAGTACTGGCTGCTCTGCAGAGGAAGCTGCGGCCCAGGCTTCCCTGACGACTGCAGCCTTGGAAACCAGCTGGACCGGTCCTGCTCCTGCGGAGGGATGCGTTGAGGATAACTGACTTGGCAGCACCCGGTGTTGGATTTGGCCAGCGTTGGTGAAGGCCTGGGAAGCATGGGCACGTGGATTTCAGGCTCTTCTGTACCACCAAGGTTCTGGCTCAAAGTCAGTGCTAAAAAATATTTTCTGTATGAATCAATTTACTCACTTTGAGAGCCAATTTAGGCACTGTATTTACATAGCAGTGTTATCATGGTTGGAGAACAGAAATGTCATGCATAGTGCACTGCTGGTTATACCACTAGTTATTTTAACTCAGCGGTTCTTCACCTGTGAGTCACAACCTCTTCGGGGGTCGAACAACCCTTTCACAAGGATTGCCTTATTCACAACAGTAGCAAAATTACAGATATGAAGTATCAAGAAAAATTATTTTAATGGTCGGGGGGTCACCACAACATGAGGAATTGTATTAAAGGGTCACGGCATTAGCATGGTTGAGAACCACTGTTCTAGATCCTGCATAGACTGCTGTTTCATAAGGCAATGATCAGAGCATTTCTAGATACTTAAGGGCTATAATCATAACTGTGCACAGTGGCTGATACAGAACCAGTGGCCAGCAGTGGTTTCTGATCCACGATGGCCTCGCATGTGTCTGAGGGGAGAGATATTAAACTGGTCAGTCTTTTGGCAGTAGATCACCAGGCTTTTCTTCTGAGATGCCTCTGAGTGGACTTCAAACTTCAACCTTTCAATCGGCAGCGATTTGAACCACCCTGGCACTCTGGCTAATACGTGAAAAAATAAAATATAACCTGCTGCCATCCAGTCAGTTCCAACTTAGTACAACTCAGATTAATCTTAGAGTAAAACTACCAGCCTCCAACTCTGTAAAACTATGTTTTCCCCCTCAAAATAACTTGTCAGTTTGAATCAATTACATTTCTGGGCAGCTTAGCACTTATTCATTGTGCTACTAGAATTCTGGGGCTAATACATTCAAATCCAAGGCCACAAAGTTGATTCTGAATCATAGCAACCATATAGGACAGTGGTTCTCAAATTTCCTAATGCCATGACACTTTAATACAGTTCCTCATGTGGTGGCAACCCCCAAACATAAAATTATTTTTTTTTGCTACTTCATAAGTGTAATTTTGCTACTGTTATGAATGTTAATGTAAATATCTGATACGTAGGACCTATTTTCATTGTTACAAATTGAACACAATTAAAGCAGTGATTAATCACAAAAACAATATAACTACATATTGTGAAATATTTATTTCTATTACAAATCAATGAAATTTTGTCTTGAAGCATGGTGTAGCATGGGTACCAGTCTTCACGCCGGTACTCATAGGTGGGCGTATCTGCATGGGGGAGGACCCACCTGGAGACGGATAGCGCAGTGGTGTCTTGGTTCCTAAGACCATCGGAAATATGTGCTTTCCGATGGTCATAGGCACCCCCTGTGACCCCCCAAAGAGGCTGCGACCACAGCTTGAGAACCCCTGACACAGCATAAAGCACTTGCTCACACATTTGAAGAGTGGACTTCTTCACTGAGGCAGACTAGTACATCTCTCCCTTTCGCAGCAGGGCGTGGCTTCTAACTCCCTTGCTGTCTATTAGGAGCTGATCTCTTTAACCACTGCACCACTAGGGCCCCTTCCATTAATATGAAGGGGCTTCCAAGATTTATGGTAAATGAAATACTAAAGGTAATACAATTTTTCCACAAACTTTTTGAAGCCTGCTCAAAAATAGGTTACAGTGCATACATTCCAATTCATAGTAACCCTATAGGACAGAAAGAACTACTTCTTAGGGCTTCCTATGCTGTATCTTTCTATTCTGGAGGATCTGGTAGGCTCGAACCACTGACCTTTCCATTAGTAATTGAGCATTTTAACCACTGTGACTCCAGCATGCCTTCTGCTAACATTTTATCCATAGTAGGCATTCATTATATAGAGCACTGGGTTTGAGGTTTGATGAAAATGAATACCATAGAGTCATAAAATCTACAGTAATTGTAATTACTGCCAAAATAACAAATCACCATACAAAACCAAGAAGATACAGGCGTCAGCATATGCGACCAGAAGAAATCAAGATGTGGTGTTCGTTGAAAGAAGATTTGAGGGTGTCCCACCATTTTCCTGTGCCTGTGGTATGCAGACCCAGGGTGGGGCTCAATGTGGCCAAGTCTCTAGGCAGGGCTTACCCAGTCTCTAAAGCTACAGCTCTGCTCCCAGAAAAGGAGCATGGCTGGACATCCTCCTATGGGGCGCACATCATAAGGGTGACCTTCATTATGAATATAGTTTCTTATTGTGCAACTGTTGGCCCTGTGGGCCACATATTAAGTAATAACACTTCAGTACCATGCAAACCGAGCCGCAATGACTCCTCTATGGGTCTTCATTATCAGCCACTCCTTTGTCAAACGGCCTGGGTGAGAACTGAGCATGTAAGTGTAATGCCGCTTCAAGAGTGTTGTTAGCTGCATTCAAGGAGATTCTGAATCATGGAGACGCCACGTGTTTCAGAGTGGTACTTTTCCAGTGAGTTTCAAAGGTGTGATCTTTTAGGGTCTGTGTTCTACGGATGGGCTCCAACCTCCAGCTTTTGGTTAGCAGCCAAGTCCTTAACCACCTGTGCCACCCCGTGAATTACCATCGATAAATCAAACAACCCACCAAAAAACAAACAAGCAAACAAACCAGTCCATTGCCATTGTATTAAATCCCGAACCCAAGAGATAACTTTCAATACATTCTGGCATGTGAAGTAAAAAAATGGAAGGCTGGTGGCACATTTAGTACTAACTGAAAGGTCAGTGATTTATTTGAACACATCAATAGGAGAAAAGATAGCTAAGCTTCCTTCTACAAAGATTGCAGACTTGGAAACCTTTTGGGGCGGTTCTATCCTGTTCTACAGACTAACTATGAAATAGAATCAACTCCACAGCAATACGTTTCTAGTTGGTTGGTCAGGCTGGCCTCCAATGACACTGGATCCAAAAACTTTTTACACACCGGCCTGTGATCTTCTACATTCGGCATCATTGCATGTGTTTTGTGAGTCTAAAGAGGACTTTATATAGATTGCTGTCAGACATATGGGCTAATATCGGACTTACGTACTTGATCTGGACTGGGCTGGGATGCTTTCTCAATGATCAATTGATCCTGCATATAATTTTCTTTCTTATACACGTATGTGTGTCCATGGATTTGTTTCTCTTGTGTACCCAAACTAACACACATACTGTATGGTTTAAAATCAGGAATGAAATACCGTATGACTTAAAATCAGGAAAGATGTAATTCAGCGTTGTATCATTTCATGATATTTATTCTGCTTGTTGAGTTAAATAATGTGAAAAATTGGAATTTATTGAAGAACACTGCCTCAGGATTAGAGACAGATTCATTAATAATTTGCAGATAAAAAGACCTTTTTTGCTAAAAGCAAAGAGGACTTTAAGCACCTACTGATGAAGATCAAAACTATATACTCTGATATGGATTACAAATCAAAATAAAGACCATAAAATATCCTCACAAATGGACCAATAGATAGCACCCTGATCAACAGAGAAGAGAGTAACACTGTGAAGGTTTTCATTAGACTTGGATTCACAATCAACATGTACGGAAACCCCTTAGAGTGTGCAGAGCAATGATGTCGCCTGAGGACGAGGATGCCACTGATCCACTAAACTCGAAAGTCACCGCCACTGAGTCATTACTGACTTATAGTGACCCTACAGGACAGCTTAGAACTTCCCCTTTGTGTTTCCAACATCGTAACTGTTTACAGGAGTAGAAAACCCCATCTTCTCCCCCAGAGCTGCTTGTAGTTTCCAACCTTTGACCTTACAGCTCGCAGTCTAATGTGTAACCAGTAAGCAACCAGCGCTTCTCCACTGATCCAAGCCATGCTGTTTTCAATGGTCTCATACAGATCTGACAGCTGGATAACGAACAAAAAAGGATAGAGAATAGGTGCATTTCAATTATGGTGTTGGTAAAGATTTTGGACGTACCATGTGCTACCAGAAGAGCAAAAAAATATGTCTTGGACTATGTACAGCCAGAATGCTCCTTAGATATGGGGATGGCATGACTTTATATCATGGTCTGTGGACTTATAATCAGAAAATACCACCCCCTAAAAAAAATATGCTTGGTAAAGTAGATGGGCAGCAGACGAGGGAATGCCCCTGGGAGATGAACTGACACAAGGGCCGCAGCCATGGTATCAAACGTAACAATTGTGATGGCACAAGATTCGGGTGTGGTTGTGTTCAGTGGAATGTGGAGTCACTGTGAGGGAAAACTGATTCAATGGCTAACCACAGCACCACAACAGCGTGAGAGTTACGTAGAGAATAGTAGTGTCCTTTTTGATGTTGATTTTTTTTTTAAGCCACGGAAGAAATTTCCTATATGGAACAATTGAGAAATATTTGAGCATAGAGCACATTCATGTTGAGTGAAGAGAGCGGATAACTGACCAAGTACATTATACCATGGTTCGATTCACCACAATTAAGGTTACAATACTACCTGATAGTAAAGTTGTACGAGTCCTCACCTGTGACTAGAGAGGATCTGCCAGACGTCCACTCTGGCCAGACACTCTGCAGATGATTTTGGTTTCTCACCGTCCTCCATAGTCTTTGTGGTAGTTACCTAATCTGGTGTCAATTTGAGGATTGAGGATAGGGGTGGAGTCTAGCCTGTCAATCCAGAGAT